TGAAAATTTTGATCTATGATATGAAAATGATCGATGATATGAAAAGATTTTTTCATCAGCTGATTCCCAAGTACTTTAGAATGACTTGAATAACTTCTATGAATGGTGTTCCTTCAACATTTTGAAGTTAAATGTAAGGAAATCTGCTGCACTCTTTATGATGACGCAGGGAACCGGAATAGCAATAAAGTTACACGCGACGAAGGCGCCCTTTTATGACAAATTATTCATTTAATTGTGATAGTCTAAGAAAGGTTTTTGCTATAAGAGACCTGGGAGCTTATTTCGACTTTAAACTATCGTTTTTGAGCCATCACAAATATGATGTGGGCAAGGCAAGTTCCTTTTTGAGTTTTATTCAGCCATAGTGAAGCCTACACATTGAACTCTCTTTATTCTTGCACCCATATGAATGTACAATAAAGCTCATTGATATGACCTTGTATGACCTTCTATTGCACAAGGTCTGAAGAATAGAAGATCTGATTGAAATGGGTTTAGAGATTTCTTAGAACAAGAAATAGACTTGAAAGTAAGCATAATATACTTGGGTCACACCAATGGTTTGTATTGTAGCACTTTTTCCTTCAACAAGTGAAAATGCTGCTTTTAAATACAATCGATGTATACCTACCACACTATTAAAATTATTTTCATTCATAAACGAAATTTTTTCTACGATTGCATATATTTAGGATGAACAATTTATGCAGTCTTTGAAATAAAGCAAAAATAAATTTAAAGAAGGGTTAACATAATGCTCGATTTTAGAGGTTAATTGTGTGAGTTAAGAAAAATAATTATGTTTGGATATGCAGGGTTTATGTTATAATTATAAATGGAATTTACTGTTAGCTTTCAGCGTTTATACAAATTTGAAAAAGCTTGTGGTTTCGGAAATAAAGGATGCCAAACATACAAATTTCTAGAGCTGATAACTTGAGAGTGGGTGGAGATGGGAAGAAATTTTCTTCTAATGAAATAAATTATTAACATAAAACAAGCTTTTGATAAAAAGTGGCAAAATGGTCTATTATAAAAACTAAAAATGTTATTGCTAAATTTATATTCACCAAATTTTGAGAAAATTATCGTAAATGAAAATTATCGTAATTTTTAAATTGGATATGATCGAAATGGTTCCCTGACATCTCATCATACGAGACATTTCATCATTGTAACATTTCATCATTGTAACATTTCATCATTATAGCAATTCATCATTGCACATTTCATCATTATAGCAATTCATCATTATTGTATTTCATCACCATTTCATCATTGCATAAAGTGCATTTTGCAAACATAAGTACATGTAGGTGTAATTAAGTAATTAACATACTGAGCAATTTTGGCAACATGTTGAAGCAGTTTGCAGTTTTGTTGCATAGTGCAACTAATGGAACAAAAATTTAAGAGGATTAGGATGTAAAGTAAATTTGTACAGGTAATTAAATTAAAGGACATATTGGTTTCACTAATTTTGGTTTCTTATCCTTTTTGCCACGTAAAGGCTTGTCCCACAAACAGGCAATTTTGTTTTTTGTTTTTTTTTGACTTTATTTCATATATCTATTATCCCACAACAGAATTCATTACAGTAAAACACAAAGACATTACACATGAAACAAATTTAATGTCGAAACACACAAAAATGTATCAAATCACTTCTTGAAAATATTTCCAACTTTCTGACTCGCCAGGTGCATAGACTCCTGTTAAAATGGGTTAATAATAAAAAATAACATGACTGACTAGATTAAGTTTTGAGTTTATGGTCTGCTACTGCAAATTAATTAATATTCTCAAGTACTTCATTTTATCCTCTTCATTGTAATACCCCTGTACAGCTGCAATTATCTTATCATTTAATTCCCTATACTTCTTCTTTTTTGGTTGTGGGCGACCATCTTCAGTGATAAAATGTTATGGTGATGAAATACAATAATGATGAATTGCTATAATGATGAAATGTGCAATGATGAATTGCTATAATGATGAAATGTTACAATGATGAAATGTTACAATGATGAAATGTCTCGTATGATGAGGTGTCTGGTCACCGATCGAAATTTTGTATAAATTAACAAGGTAATATGGCAACTTAAAGTTGTAGTCTGTCCCCTAGTCAGCTATGGCAAATTTATTCGTACATAGGAAAACAAATTCGTATTTTTTGGGAAGCTCAATCATTTCATTATGTACCTTAGAAAAAACAAAATCTTCAGTTAGATTTACATTAAGCAAGCTTATTAAAAGACAATTAGCTCTACATTAAGCAAGATAAAAAAACGTTAAGTGAGGAAATGGTATGAAAAAGCAAAATTCTAAGTTAAATTAAATAACGCATTAGGGTTGAACTTGATGTTGAGGATTGGTTACTAGTATAAGATTGACTACATATTTCAATAACGAATTACATTATATAAGAATACTTGAAAGTCACTTATTTTCTTCTTTAGCACTATACAAATTACAAAATAAGAAACTAAATCTTCATTGTCAAATTCACTATAAAAATCAAGATTCAAAACGAAAAAAATTTTTGATTTTAATTTAATACAGTTTTATATATGTTTTTTTTTTAAGCAACATCTCACCATAATTATCATTCTTAAAAAATCTGTAAGTAAACAGAATTATAATAATTTTTAAACACTGCACCTTCGTGATGGGTACATTAACCGTAAAATTTGGCGTTGATTTAAACATGTCTGTCCTTCCATCTGATCGCAAAAATAAATAAAGCAAACTTTTACATACAACCAAACTTTTACAAGTTGTTTCCTTTCTATTAAGGACGAACCCTACTGTAATTGTTCCCATTCGTGCAAAGGATTCGGGTAGCTGCCATAGAACTCAAAGAGATTATTTTAAATATTTCAGAAACTAAAAAAATATCAATATGAAATTAAGTACACGTGTGTCCAATTACTTTCTATATAGCTCTAAAAATTTTAATAACATGACTGCACAGGTTCGGGTAGCTGCCATACAACCCCAAAAGCAAATTTTATTAATTCGAAAAAATAATAAAACTGGATTCATGAAGGTTGGCAATCACGTGTTCAACTATAGAACACATCTGTTATTGAAGTTTTCGTAAATAGTTCGACGGATTCGGATATCAGCCATACTACCAGGAAAGCCAATTCTAAATGTTTCAAAGACAATTTTTTATACTCACATTGCCAAGGTCCTGCATCAATATAATTTAACGTTTTTTCTGAAACGTTTTCACTTGTTCAATTTTCATAAAGCTTTTTTTTACAATTTTTAATATAAAATATATTTTTTAAAAAGTAACTTCAAAAATTATAATATTTATTACAAATATTAATATATTTCTTTAATATAATAAGCAAAAATTGTTTAAATATTGAATTTTTCTGATATATATACTTCATGTGCATAACAATATAACTCATTTCATAAAAGAAAGATAGATTTACACTCCAAATTTTTTGAATTAACTAATTAAATTAGAGTTTAATTAACAATAAATTTAATGTTATGAATAACTGACTGTATTGTATTTGCCATCTAGACTAGAATATCTTATATTATATTGACTATAATCGTTGATTTTTTTTCTTCAATTATTACTGCAATTTTAAAATAAGAAGTACTTAGTCTTTGAGAACATTATATAAACATGTGTCGGATTGAAAATTTGCGACTATGCGAACTAGATTGATCTAGTTGCCTAGAATACACCCTCGAGACCCACAGTTTTGATGAATTCGAGCTCGGGAAAATATCCCACAACGACATGTCCACCAGCAAGGGTCCACCCAAGTCGGGACTTCCCTTATGGACCAACGCTCCACATTTATTGAGAAGGTGTATCGGAGTCTCCTCGTCTTCAGTTGCCTTACCGCGTTAAGGTGGAATCTAGTCGAGACAGACAATGCAACCCAAGAGATAACTTTATAAGACAATTCGCCATTTCATTCAACAGAGGCATTACTCAAAAATAAATTCGGTGTTTGAGTTATTTATATATAGATAAATATATAATATAGATAAACGATTAAAAAATTTAATTTTTGTGCAAAAACACTATTTCTCTAGCTGGAAATTCGATGCTTACAATAAAATATAAATGCTATAACGGAAAAAATCCCATAACATTTATAATTCAGTTTTTCTCAAAATTGCAAATTTTGAGCTTAAAAAATCAGTGTTGCAGCAAACTAGCAAATTAATCAACTCAATTCTGCAATTACTGTTTGACTGTAGAATCGTTGTACACGCATTTTACTAACTAAAGTATTGCGTCAATTCGAATCGAATGCGTTAAACAAAAATTACAATCAGTTAGGCAATCAAACAGTTGGAAACCAAAAATTTCATATTTATCTGTGTCCTAATAACATAAACTTTTATAAGCAAAAAAATTTTTAATAATTTTATCTTTCATATAGAGACAGCTTTTCATTAAAGAGATTTTTGGTTTTGTTTAGGGTGAACCTGTAGCGTAGTATAATATCTTCGGGAGCAGAAAGATGAAACAATTTCATGAAACAAATCTTTGCGGATGGGGCAGCAGATAGGTAATAAAGCCCCAAAATCCCAGTCGAAAATTTTTGGTTTCGACGAAAAGGTGTATCGCCTTAAATGGCTTTACACTTTATCTTCGATTTACTATATTTAGCGTATGTAATTTTGACCTAGAGTAAAATAACGATTTTTCTTGAACCATCCAGTTTACAACCGATCTATCTCGGAAACAGGGTGAGATGTAATTTAAAAACTAGTTCAAAATATTTCAAACTATAAAAAACAAAAAAATTTAATAGGTAAATTTTTTAGTAATTGGTCACTTTGTGAAAATTCAACATTTTTTTCTTTTTTTGACTTATTTCCTCAATAACTTTTTAAGTAATGCCTCAAATGGCAAAGCTACTTTATATTGCTTTTTCATTTTCTTAAATCTGTTAATAATTTATGGCAGTTATAGCCCCGCCCCCCCCCCCCCCCCCCCCCGTCAATTTAGGTATATATCCTGAATTATTTTGATATTTATTTTATATTATTAACCTCATATTATGATGTCGTGATTCTCACATGTGCGATTATGCATAATATTGTGTTTAAGGATTGCTGAAATTATTATAAATACATTTGTAAAGAACTACATCTCTCGCACACAACATGTTTATAATATTGTAATTATGCAGTAATTATTATCAAAAAAAAATCATGTAAATTTTGGTGATCTTATATGATGATTTTTTCGGTTAATTATATCAATAATATCCTCGGAATCCGATATATATTGTCTTTGGTTAAATTTTATCTCATTTGATTGATTATGTTGTAAAAATTGTTGATGTTGATAATCATTTGTATTATTATCATTTGTGTTATAATTAATTCCATTATTTATATTTAATAATCCGTTATTTGTATTTGTACCAATTGTTTTATCACCAGCTGCTAACGATATTGATGCTGATGATGATTTTGCTGATAATCTTGACAAATCATACCATGTTTTACTAACTGACATTCGATTTGGTGGTAACCATGATGCTAATACACTATTATTATTGTCATTTTTATTAATATTACTATAATTTAACCAATTTGTTGTTAAACCATTTTGATTTGTTTGTAAATTTTTCATATTTTTTTTTGTAATATCTGAAAAAAATTATTTTTGTATATGTATTTATGTAGGTAATGTATACCTTTCCAATTCTTTGATCCTTTTCTTTGACTATCTCTAATTATAGCGGCTGATGAACGTTTTGAACGAAAATATGATTTACAAATGTCATTGTCATCGCTATCCTATAAAAATAATAAATTAAAAAAAAATAAAATTTTAAGTTTAGCTATGATTTCAAAATTTCAGTAAAAGACCGTTTCCCATAGTCAAAGATTTGACGATTGTGTCCATCATCACGTTATTGCCTATTGCAAATGAAAATCATTCGTAATTAGGCAATATTCATAAATTGAAATGTTGAAGATTATGTTTTTTTAAAAACATTTTTCAGACGAAATTTACTAGCTGTACCAGAAATAAATTTGAAATATATTTTTGATTTACTCTCTGAGCTAGGTGGCCTGATAGATATACATATATGACATTAGGCCAAACTGTAAATGGCTATAAAAACAATTCAGCAATTTCAAATCACTTAATTAGAATTAATGCTGCACTTGTGTTGATGCAATTTTTAAGTAAGTGTAAATTAATTTAACGTAGATTACATACTAATTTCCATTTCTATGCCTAGATGCCAAGATTATAAAATCAAAATCTATAATGAAAAGGCTAAACAAAATTTCTGAGATTAGTTTTTGAAATATTTGAAATGATTTTTTAATGGTATAGAAGCTGCCAGAAACAATTTGTTTTCATTCGTTCAATTACAAAAGGATGAACGACTCATGGTAGAAAGGAAACAATTTTTGAAAGTTTTGTTGTGTTTGTTCTTTACGTTTTTCAATTATCGTACGAGTACGTCAAAATCCATGTAATCCATCAAAAAGAATATAAGCCTGAGATCAAAATTGTAATAATTAAAATTGTATACGAGTACTGTATTAATACAGAACTCAGCTTATAAGTCCAAATTACTGAATTGTGTATCGATACAGGATTGTAACAATTCTGATGTCATAAACATCATACTGTAAAAAACAAAAATATAAACATTTTCATACTGTAAACGTCTCTTTAAAATGGCTAAAAATGCAGTACCAATATTAAAATATCCTACAATACAGCTCAGGGGGTAAGATATTAAAACGTTATTATCATTTTAAAGTTATTCCAAAATTTATGAAAACATTTATAGCACTAAAAAATGTGAACTAATTTGAATAATTGATTGAAAATTCTATTTATACCCGTACGAACGTATGTTCGAAGGGTATACTAAATTTGCCTTAGTGTTTGTAACGTTGAGAAATAACGGTCTTAGACATAGATTCAAGTGTATGTTTTTGATCAGCGTCGAATTCTGAGTTGATTTAGCTTTGTCTGTCTGTCCGTCCGTCCCAACGATAACTCAAAAACTAATTGAGCTAAATTCACCAAATTTTCACAAATGATTTACTGTAGTATGTGCCAGAACCCTATTGAAATTGGACATGATCGGGGTACCGGTTCGGGTAGCTGCCATACAAATTCAAAATTTATTTGGCTATATCTCAGAAACTATAAGAGCTGTTGTATTGAAATTTCGCACAAATAAATACATTAGTAGGGCCAATATGTTTGATGAAAATTGTTGAAATTACTTGGCTCCTTCTGGTACCTGCCATACAACTTCAAAAGTTATTTGACTATATCTCAGAAACTATAAAAGCTGTAATATTGATATTTTACACAAGCGAATATATTAGTAGGGCCGATGTGCTTGAAAAAATTCGTTAAAATATCTTAGCTCTTTCTGGTAGCTGCCGTACAACTTCAATAGTAGTTTGGCACACACAGTATTTTGAAAAACACAGTACTGAAATTTTGCATAAATTAATATGGTAATACGGCAACTTAAAGTCATTGTCTGTTCCATAGTCAGTTATGGCTTATTTATTCGCACATAGGATAACCAATTCGTACGGGTATCACAGAGTTGACAAAGTCAACTCTATTTTTTCTCGTTTTATTCTATTTTATATGCTATTTTCCAAATATTTAATTGTAAATTTTGCATATCGCGTTTTCGGTGGGAATGCACTTCTCCATGGTAGGGAAGTGTAAATAAATTATTTTAGAAACCTGTCGGTCTGTGTATGCACGCGTGTATCTCAAGTTCAGCTGAACCGATTTTCATGAAATTTTATATATAAGTTTATTTCGAGCATGGCACGGATTGGTCAACTTTTGGTATACATCAGGCCTCGGGAACTACACTTTTTATAGGGCCTGTTTTACATTTACTTGAAATTTCATATACTCGTATAAGCTTCATTCGACCGTACGCGGAACTTTTAAGCTCCTTTTGGAAGAAATCAGGTGTCAGCAACTGGAGGTTTATTACGGGCTAAATATACATTTTTGCGTGTGTAAAGAAAAATAATCAATCGATTTCCTTGAAATTTAATATTTCAATTCTTCGTATTAAAATTCAGGGCTCGGAAACTGATCTGCGGGCCAATTTTACATTTTTCGCCATATCTATGGAACGAATTTGTGGAATTTCTTGAAATTTGATATTTGAGTTCTGGTTGTTACCGAAAATAAATGGCGAATATTTCAGGGAATTCGGGTAGCACAAAGCGCAACTCTGTGCTGACCACATTAATTTTTTTGTATATTCAAAATATCGCAGTACTTCATTTTGAAAACACATCAAATTTTTATACATTCCATTACAGTGAATAGGTGAGTTATTAATACAATTAAACGTGAATCCAAAGTCAATATTAAATTTTAATTGAATCTAAAGCCATTAAAATTTTAATATCTGAATAAATAATTTACAATTTGGGATCATATAAGCCACGGTTTACTTATACTAAATACATATAATTATTAAATATATGTAGAAGGGATCTTTACCTCATTATCATCATTTTGTATTGTTAAAATCATTGGTTGTTCATATTGATTAATTGATAAGGCTAGAAGGATTTCAAATTTAAAATTAAGCAAAAAAAAAAATAATTATAATAATTTAAATTTTTCAAATTCAAAAAACAGAATTCTTAATTTTTTTCTTTTTAATCTTACAACTTACTAGCCGGTGGTAATTTAAAATGTGCCATATTATATTCTGGTAATTTCCACATTTGTAAATCATCATTCCATATTGATTCATTTTGTATTTGTGTTGGGTCCCTATATATTAAAATATTTTTAAAATGGTAGAAATTATAATCGAAATCAAGAAAATTAAAAACAAACTTCGTTTAAGTAAAAAAATAGGGGATAATGGACGAAAGGAGGAGCGTCGGTACAAAAAAAACTTTTATACGTCTTATGAGTTCTAGAAATTTAAAAGATGGTTGTATTATTTGCGTTTTATGGCCGCATTATTTTTAAAATAAATGCGGTCATATCACTTTAACTTTCTATACGATTGATTGTTGGTTTGGTAACATTTTTCTTGAACTACAGTGGTGGTTATGAACTGGTATTGAAGCTGTTGAAATGAGGTGATTACATGTAAGTTTAAAAAAAAATTTTCGTGTAGGAACAAAGGCGAGTTCCAGAACAAAAGGGAAAGATCGGGAGGTGGTGCAGACGGCGATAATGAAGGGGCTCCACCACAGTAGGGTCGTCTTTGACAACATTATATAGCACGTAAGCGCCAATAACATTCCATTTATACGGGAAGCATGATTAGATGGGAAAAGTAAGGTGCAGCGCCTGAGGCTCAAGAACTATGTCTTGTACTGCAAACCTGGCGTAAGTAAAATAAGGTCATGTATTTTAGCTGAGAAAGACCTAAAAATTATTTCTTGATGATATGATTTTTAGTGACGGTAATACGACGGCTGTGAGGTTTGAAAAGTTTGAAGAAAGATAGGCCTCTTCGCCTGATTTCCTCCTACATGCCTTATGACAGCAAAAATCTGCCGCCGCCAAGAAAATTAGGCAAGTCATTAGTTTCTGAAGTGCAGCTGTGTTGGTGCGATGTGACGCCAACACCCATCATACCGTTTGGGGGCAGTACCGATGTAAACGAATGAGGTGAGTCTCTTTTAAGTTATTTAAGTCATACTAACATTAACATATGCAACGTGGGTTCGTGTCCTCCCCTTTTTCTTTTTATTCTCATAAAAAGAAAAAGGAGAGGATTTAGACCTTACGTTGGAAACTTGCTCTAGGCCCCTAAATTTTAATAACTGCAGGGTCTCCAAGGAGTCTTCCCTCTCGGATCATCTTTCTGGATACGATTTAAAGTAGGTGTGCATCGGATGCCATGAGTGAGGTTATGGAACAGGCCTTAGGGCAGGTTTGGCAAGAGGCAGTAGCCTTTCGGTGAACCTATCGTAAACGGAATTGGCTCTTTTATTATGCATATTTCAAAAAAGATTCAACAAATTCATTGATGGTAGGTGAATTGAAATAACTCTATGATATCACCAACCGACCAACCAACTGTTTTGGACCATCCTGTATAATTAAATCTGAAGGGAATATATAAAGAAGTTAGGGAATATAATATAATCTGCATATTCTCTAAGATTCATATTGTATTTATATACATATTTACATATTTCATATTGTATTTTTCATTTTACTCTTTTCTCTTTATATATTAATCTTTGTATTGTATATGCCAGAGGAGTCCAAATACGGGTCCTATGATAATATGACAACTAAACAATTATGGAAAAGTGAACATCTACATATTCAGGAACATCTGAGTAAGGGCGAATGCAAGTGTGTACATAGATTGTAAACACGTTGCAGAAAAGACATTGCTTGTCAACTAGAAAACAACGCAGTTTTAGAGCTTAGAACATTTTTGCTGAACGCAGTTTTAGAACATAGAACATTTTTACTGCGCAGGCAAGTCGGTGGGTGTGCACGATCGTAGCACCGTCCTCCAAATTATTTTCCAATTATTTCCTCAAAAATTCGCTTTTCTGCCATGTTCTCGCAAAAATTCACCACCTCCATGTCGATATCACACAAAACTGAGCAAAGTTATTTGAATTTTCGTTCTTTTTATATATAGAAAAGAGATATATGCTATTCAAGTGTTCTTTCATAGAACTTTCATAAATTGTATCTGCTTAATTAATGCGCAGCTCCTGAAGTTTTTTGAAAAACCTCTGGTTGCGACCCCTATTTACCCTAAAAGTGGGAAACCTTGGTATATATGAATAAAATGTTTAAGATTTTCAAATTCTGTTTATAAATAAATTCTAATGTATTATGTAGGCATAATTTTTTATACATACCAATATTTACCATCCTTTCTTAAGATTGGTAATGCTTTTTCAAATAATTGCTGATAAAATTTTAAATTTCTTTCTAATCTACGGATTGTTTCTAAATAATCAGCACGATCTAATTGAAATTCCGCTTGTAGATCAGTTACTTCACGTTCTAAACTTTTAATTTGTTGACGATATAATTTTAACGTATCACTTTTAATTTTTAATTCTTGTTGTATATCAGTATAATGTTCCTGTAATAAATCTCGATCAGATATTTGTTCTACGCGACTTAGTGCATGTGCTAATGCACTTAAACGACGTTCAACTGCTTTTTTCTTTTTATTACGTTTTTCTTTTAATTCAATATCATTGGATCTTTCACCTCCAATTAAAGCATTTTTAATTATTTTAATACGATTAATTACTTCTTCTTGTGTAATTTTATTATTATTATTATTTGAGTTTAATATTGTTAATTCATTATTATCATTATTTTCATTATTATTATTATTATTATTATTATTATTATTATTACTCGTATTATTATTATTATTAATATGTAAATTACTTTGTAAATCTTTTAATTGATTTTTGTAATGTAATTTTAATAATTCCATATCATGTAATATATCTTCTTTTTCTTTTTGTTGTAATTCCGATTCTTTACGTAAACGTTCAGCTTCTTCTTCATATTTTAATTTCAATTTATTTTTTTCAATTTCAATTAATTCTTTATGATTATTATTATCAATATTGTCATTATTATTATTTATATTATTAAGTAATAATGATGATGTTAATTGATTTGTTTCTAATATATTCCGCAATTTATTAATTTCTTCTTGATATTCTCGTAATTTTGCATCTTTAGGATCTTCATTAATTTTTGGTTGATTATGGATATTTTTAGCTCGATTTGCATAACGTAATGTTGATAATGTTTCATCATAATTGTAATCCGCCGGTGAAATGCATGCAATCATTAATGTTTTTGTGTTGCCACCTAATGAGTCCTACGAGTTATAATAAAAAAAAAATTAAAAAGTTGTAATATTCAAAAATTGTTAGTTACTGTTTTCGCATTCATACGACAAAAATATGAGGTTAAATGTTTGCCAGGCAAAATTATAACCAAAACAAAAAACAGCTGATCGCTGCTTTGTACTCTCTCACAAAAAAATTAATTGTCTCCATTTTAATTATAAATGATCTGAATGCAATAAATGTAATAAGAATAAAGTAATTTCTATTGCTTAATGTCAGACAAAATCTGATGTCAAATAGAGTCTACATATACGACTTTCATCAGACTCAGATAAAATAATATATGCAAACATTAACTAAAATTACATTCAAATTTCAAAATTATTATCTAAAAAAAAAGATCAACTAGAAAAATTAGATTAAATCAGTTCAAAAAATTACGTCAGAAATTTGGAACTCAAGTGCGAATTAAAAGCAATCAAAATTACTAAATTGAAAATTGTTTATAACTTTTTTTTATAGTAAATTTAATATTTAGCGCAATTTGCACTAATGAAATGAAAATGGAACAATAAAATATTTATCCAATATTATTTTGAGAGTATTTTTTTACATTTGATGGAATTCATAACTTTATTAAATCGCGTTATTATATGGTTATGCATGGATAATGTCGGCAAAGAGCTATGAGAATAATATTACAATATTGTACTTTGTATTCTGCTTTGATCATTCATCCAAATTAAGACTTTCTATGAATTATATACTTGTGTAAGTTCTGTTATTCAGTAAAATAACTGACGGATGTCCATTATTTGTCAAGAAGCATATATTTTCACATTCGCACTTAAATATCCGTATTTTGAGGCAATTGAAACTTTGAACTTGCGGTATTAGGCTTTTCGGACGGCTAATATATGGTTTCATTATTGTTATAGATTGACTAATCCTGGAGGTGTCAACAAAACACTTTGACTTTCATTCGTAAAGTAATAACGCTTTCAGGTTTATTATTTTGTATAATGTCGCACAAAATAATAACCTTTAGACTTTTTAGACGTAGTAGTTATATTTGGTTTGCTAATTTACCTGCCACTTGCATGTGTCTTAATCTAAATCTAAATCTATCGAGATATTGAATGCATATAAATGAATATTATTTTCTAATTACTATCATAAATTTAAGTTGTTTATGTATATATACTAACTTGTAATAATCTTGTTAATTTTGAATCCCGATATGGTATATGTTTTGTTTTACCATCAACTAAAGCTGATATAACATTGCCTAATGCTGATAAAGATAAATTAATTTTTGTTGCTTCTTTTAAACGATCACCACTAGCACCAGTTTTATTTTGACGTTCTGAACCAGCTAAATCAACTAAATTTAATTTACCTTTTCTAATTGTTGTTGTCGATAATATTTGATGACTTTCTTGATTATCATCATAATTATTAATATTATCATTATTATTCTCATTATTTATGTTATTATTATTATTATTATTATTATCATTATTAATTTGTTCAACTAATTCACTATCGATTTGTTCTAAACTAATTGTAAATATTGAATGTGATCTTGAACTATTTGAATTCATTAATGTTGAACCAATAACACGATTTTTTGTACCAATTTTTAGTAATTCATCACATTCTTTAGAATTATGTACTGTATGCGTTGATAAATTTGTAACAATAATACCTTCACCAGGTATTTCTTTTAATTGTAAACTATTATGATTATTATTATCAAAATTATTATTTATTTTTAATAAATCACGTATTGTTTCATTATAAATTTCTAAATAACTTACTAAAACTAAATAACGTTTGGCACTAGCAACACTAATTGCTTCAAATATATGATCAAATGAACGTGGTATTATACCATGTTGGTTATTATTATTATTATTATTATTATTATTATTATTATTATTATTATTATTATTATTATCGTTATTATTAACTAAATTAATTTCCCCTTGCATTGTATGTGATTTACCACAGCCAGTTTGTCCATATGCAAATATTGTTCCATTATATCCTTCTAATACATTTTCAACAAGATTATAACACATATCATTATAAATTAATTCAGTTGTATTATTTTCATCGTATGTATTATCAAATTTAAATGTTTTTGATGGTGCCAATTTATCATTTGGATTATTTAAATTAACAGTTCCATTATCTATTTCAACAATATTCTGAAAGAAGAAGAAAGAAAGAAGGAAATCTTTTCAATAATGGGAAATGTATACAAAAAAGTAAGAGAAAAATTAAATATAATATAAAAGATCACATTTTAAGTGCTATGACAGACTGCACGTCTGCGTGAGTTCTAAATCAGCAATTACTTAAACTTATTTTTAAGCAATAAAAATTTCAACTGAATTGAATATGCTTAGTAAAATGTTAGATCTTTACTTAGTAAAGTTAGTTAATAAAAGGTAACATTTTTGAAAATCAAAATGAGTAAAATACAATGAATACTATATATTGCGAGCATTTGTTATAATAAATATTTAGTATCATGTTAAATCGACCGCATTGCATACAATAAGGGAGGTTACGTGACGGCACCAACTTTCGCATATCGAGTTTTCGGGGGGGATTCTTTTATTCATGACATGAAAGTGAAATATTAAAATAGTTTTAGAAAGATGTTGGTCTGTTTGTCTATCTGACAGTCTGCCGTTCTGTTGGTCCGTCGGTCTGTGTGTGCACGCGATTTACATCTGTAACCTCAAAAAAACTTAATGAGGAAGACGGTACTTCATTTCTATCATCTTTTTTTTACGAACCTTAATAAAAATATTTTCATGTAAAGTCAATATTTTAAATTCATCCCGCAAATTGAAATTTCCTAATTTTTCTCTTTCTTTTAGTAGTTTTGCTTGACAGTTTCTGTGTTTATTGAAATTTGAAAAAGCTTGCGGTTTCAGAAATATAAGTAACCAAAAATTCAAATTTTACAAATTTCGAAGCGCTATAACTTGAGAGGCGGTGGAGATGGAAAAAAATTTTCTTCTAACGAAATGAACTATTTATTGTGATTTCGTTAGAAGAAGTCTAACATTAGAAGTCTCTAAAAGCTGTTAAAATTTTAGATTTTCATAACCTAGGGTGTTGAAGAACGACATCAAAAATTTGGGGAAAAACGGATTTTAGGTAAGGGTAAATTTTTACGGCCATTTTGTTTTTTGGAAGTTCAAATATATTCGTTTCGGTAGAAGAAGCCAGCCACCATATTTTTGCTTTTCCAAAATTTATATAATACTAATGGTTTCACTGCAATAAATAGTTAAAGGGCGGGCGTAAACCTTTAAGAGGCGGGGAAATCTTTTTTATATAAGTTGGTACCGTTTCGATATGGTCTATTTTGCGCTTTTTAATTCTAAGTTTGTTTGTTGCTATAATTTAATATGCTTGTTTTTTTGAGACGGATCCTATTTCAATATATAAAAATCTTACTGAGGAAGAATAGATTTGTACCTAATTTTTCGCTTTTCAGGTACTTTAATGTTCTCTCTCTTCGTCACATATATTTTTTTTAAATCTTTAACAAAAATTTGGCTACTTGGTGCAAAGATTTTATTTTAATTATAAATTTTATTTTAATTAAAAATTTAATTTGAGGTTCGCCCTGCGCACTGCGCCTTCTGCCTCGGGAAGACCCCATCATTCTTCCACCTTATGAACATAGGCTCAAATAAATTAACTAACCCACACTGGGCAAAAGACGTGATGTCGTGGATGTGTTATTCATTTTTCAACTTAAGAAAATTAACTTAATTTTTACCGGCATTTTAAATAAAATTGTTACTACCTCTAACTTTAGGTCTCATTCCCCTGATCTTTTCGTGATTTTTTTTCGTACGACCAATTATGAGAAATATGAACCTGTCCGTTGAATGCAACAAACACACACACAGTCTTGACTTTTCACTGACGTGGGACACGATGAAAAAAGTTCTATTTATTTATAGTAAAGTATAGCGTCTTCTTATTTTAACAAATTTTTGTTTTAGTTTTTCATCGTTTATTTTGTTCAATGGAGTATTAATACGAATAAGTTTTATTTTGTATAATTTTTAAATTTAATTTTTAAGTCAAAAATTTGTTCTGTCTAAAAAATATGTATCTGTATATGCATTCTTTAATTTTAAGTTATGTAAAATGTTTGAGCTAAATATAAATAAATAACTAAAAAATATTATACAAAAAAAAAAATATAACTTTAAACTTAATATGAATATGGCAGTTGTTGCAAGAGCTAGACTATGAAATTTTTTTCACTTTTACATCTCAATTGCACCAAAATTCAATTTATTGGCATTGGATCTCAGAAGAGTTCAAATTTTATCAGTTTTTGAAAAATCTCTAGAAAAATGGTTATTTAATTTCGACCACAAAGAACGTGAGCTTTTATTGAGCTAAATTTGTTTGATGCACAATCTAGTGATTATATTCGGATTAAGATTTGATTAAAATAGATCGTGTTTAATAACTCAAAATTAGTACTGAATTGTAAACAGCTTGAAAATTGTAAATTGAATTTTATATTAAATTTTACGCTATCACTTATCTTTCTAGATTTTTTTTTTCGTTTTTTTAATTTTTATTGCTTGAATATCTTTTCTTTGTGATCTTTGTGATCAAATAAATTAAATTTAAATTTGTATGCATGGCATTTGTTGCCATCCTTATTTTTAATTTTATTTTATTTTAAGGTTCTCTATATTTTATTTTAACTATTTTTAGTTTTAGCTTTATATGAAAAATAAGGAAAATGAATAAATAAATAAAAATAAAATAAATTTTTGATAATAATGGTAATAAATTATTATAAAAATATGAAGAACGAAAAATTTTCTCTTAAACCGTAAGTAGCCATAGACTACATGAATACATTAGCTCTTTTGTAATAAAAAAGACTTTAATATAATGCTTTTTCCAATATATATAAAAATTTGATTATATACCAACCTTACAATTTAATGTCTTCTCTTTTTGATTCATTGGGCGACATCTTACAATAACTCTGACATTTTCCGCCATTTTCTTTTTTAATTATGATCGATTTTTGTTTATATTTTTTGGTAAAATACTGAAATTATAGGATGAAAAAAAATATTTATATTTCACATTAATGTATTTTTTAGAAATGTACTTGTTAAAAAATCATGTATGATTTGTGAAAAATTATTTTTTTTTGAAAATCATGATGCATATGTACATGATATGTGTATACCCATATAATATAAAAATATAATGTTAATAGAGTATTATATATAAATAGTATATATAAGTATAAACTTTTATACCATACATTATAGTTTATATAATATAGTATAAAAGTTTTTATGTAATATGGCATATTCGTAAACGTGGTTAAAACTTAAAACCAATATAACTATAATATGGACATTATTGTATAAACACTAATTCTATATAAGTTCTAATACTAAAACTGTCATATTATGTTATATTCAAAACTGTTATTCTCAGAATAACTGTTATATATACATTTTTTTTTCTATTTTTATTAATTTTTGCATTCTATTGAAAAATTTTGGTTGAAATAAATTTTTAAATAATTGTAAACTGATATGAATAGTTTATTCATATGATAAACTATAACATTGTTGCTATTTAAAACACCACAATAGGCGGATATTATGTAGTATAATACTTATATTTATATATGTGTATACGAATATGTTACTTTAAAATTCTCATTTTCGAATAGGAACATTAAATGTTATTAATTTTTCGTATCTGGTACCAATATACCTACGGCGGAGATATTGTTCTCCTTATGTGAGAAATATATCAAGTATACTGGAATTCTAAAATATATTTACGTTCTAGAAAAGGTTTTTTAAAATATTTGAATGTTGAATTATTAATATTAATTATTAATATGAATTTAAAAAAAAAATTAATATTTTTCCTTATTGATACCGACACGGAAAAATATATTTATTATAGTCAATCGCAGCCGTCTCTATATATTGCGTGCAATTAAATTAAAATATATTCAAAATTAAAAAAAAAAAGTATGAAAATTATAACTTACTATATAAGTTTTTTATTTATTCAATTCTCTTTCTCTTTCTTTACATAATAATATTATAATTACCAATATATGAAAATTAAAATGTATGAACAACATGCATGAATAAATTATTTAGTTAATAATGACAAATGAAATGTCCTTTCAATTGAAAGTAAAGTTTGGTCAAATGGTTTGTAAGGTAGTACTTTTTCCTCCAACAAGTGAAAATACTTCTATTGAAAACAATATAAAGGGTGTTCCTAAATTCACGCAAGAAGTAATTTTGGTAGAAAAAACAGGTTTATAATTAAAAAATTGTAAATTTTTTATTGATATATACAGTATAGAGTTATGTATAGAATAGCATATCGGGTAAATGGCCTCAACCACATTGCTGGCACATACGCACTCTTTTGTTGAAATTGTTTATGATTGTTTTACATAAATGTGGCTGAAATTTGCTGATATGGTGCTCGATTTGTCCCTTCGAGACGTGTGTGATCGTGGGCTTGTTGACATAAACCGTAGACTTCAAAAACCTGAAAGAAAAAAAATCCAACGGCATTAAATCATATGATCTAGGCGGCCAATTCTGATCATACAAAATGGGAAATTACGCGACCAGGAAATTACTCATGTAGTAATTGATTTGTTTCTGGGTCGCGATAGCGAGCAGCATCAACATTGTCGATGCATTTTCTTCTCAACAATCACGTGTGGATTTTGATCACTTGTCGATAAGCAAAGCCATCAAGATGAAAGTGAGCCTCATCGTTGAAGATAATTTTATTCGAAAAAAACTTTCATTATTTACAAAATATTTTTGAACAATAAAAATGTGTTGTTCTTTTATGTAGTGCTCCATTTTTAATAGCCCTGAAGTTTCACCTGTCACGCTGTATTTTTTTTTTTGTCGGCAGCACTTCCGCACAAATGGCGCAAAATTCAAATATTGCGTGAATTTTGGGTCACCCTTTATTACATATGTTAAATTTCTTTTATTCATATACCAAAATATTGCATGTATTTAGGGATGAGAGAAGGAAAAAAATTAAAAGGCGTGTTAACATAATGCTCGAATTTGAGGGTTAGTAGCGTGAGTTAAGAAAAATTGATGTATTTTTTTTTAATTTTAAAGCTTAGAGTTTCGAGAATGTAAAGTGCAAAAAATTCAAGTTTTTGAGTGGAGGCGGAAAAAAATTTTCTTTTAACAAATGAACTATTTCAAATGTTCCTAAAAGCTTCTGCTTCAAGCTCTTACAAGTTGCTGTGTAGAAGACAAAACGATATCAAAAAGTAAAAACAAAACGGTAAATATATTATTTAAATTAAAGGTAAATATTATTAAAAAAGAAAACATGAATTATATATTCATTATATACGTATGTTTTTTCATCTTATCATGTCCATTAAAAAAATCATAATATAAAAAGTTTTATTTTATTTATTTTTTACTAAAGTGAAAAGTCTACCATATTATGTGAATGAATTTCTTTAGTGAAAAAATTTAGAATTCAAAAACTTCAGAGTTATAAATATATACGTATATACAATATATATATGTGTAATCAGCAACCAATTAACCATTATATGCAAAGTTTATTGCATATTGGTTATTGTTTTGAAAGCGGGAGCACGCACTTTTTGGAAACCACGTAGGGGCGGTATACCTATATTTTTAGAGCCGGCATGAATACGTATTTATGTGTACCAAAAGTATCCGAGATATTAAAATTTTATTAAGATATTGTATTGATACATAATTCATAGTGGCTTAAAGCCATAAGCTAATATTTTTTTTGCAATTAGAATGCTGAAAAAAAGCCAACGTATAAAAACGTAGAAAATAAAATCTAATACTATTTATTACACTATTTTCAATATCTCATTCTCCCTCATATTTAAATATTTAGGTGAGTCAAAACACAAAAAAATAATTCTATACTGCTATATTTTTTGTTGTAAAGATTATTCTTATGAGAAATCAATCTGAAATTAATCAAAATAATGATATATTATACATATATTTAATGAATTAATAATTATATATAGAGTTTAAAACCTGAATTATGTACAAAAATAAAGGACAAAATTACCGCAACTTCTACAAAGAAATTATTATCAATACAATAGCAACAAAACCAATATCTAAAAAATTTTCTGTTGTTGAATTATTGGCAAAATTCTATAAAAAAAAATTTTAAGTTTCAAAAAATTTTGTACGGCATTATCTGGTTAAAGAAAACTAAAAAAATGAAAGAAGGAAAAAATTTGATTTTTTCTTCGAAAGTTCGAATGCCTGATTAATTGAAAGTACATGTAGTACAAAATCAAGTAATATGTTACTTTCAAGCTCTTTAGACTTTTCAAAAACTTATTGTTTGGAGCTTCAATCTTTTCGGAATAACGTTATGAGCAAAAAATTTGGGCAAGTACAGAAATTTCGTGAAAATTGGTTGAAATCCCTATACCTCGGAAACTGTTCAAATTTTGCACCTAGTTCTTAGAAAGAATTTTAGTTATTCTTTCGTTCTTATTGAGTTTTCATTGCCAAAATTTCTCAAACAAAAACCGTTTTCAGTATGCTATTAGAAACAAATCTGATGTGACACTGATCGACAGCAGCGTGTATATTGTCTAACTTAATGAGAATAGTGCACAAGATTATGAAAAAATGCTTTTGAAATGTTGTTCTTTCAAATTTTAAAGCAAACTTTTTAATTAACACGCTACTATAGAAAAATGCAATTTTGGTTCTTAGTATATAAAGGTTCTTGAGATACACAGGTTCAAACGCGAACGGAAGAGAAGCGGACGTCTTGATAAAAGTATAGTTTATTTATGATTCCCTATCTTCATTAAAAATTGCATTCTCTTCATTGAAAACTTGACAAATGAAATTTGGTAACATCACAATAAGCAACCCCCTTTTTTTTATTAAATGCGATCGGTAAAAAATAGAATTGTGTATTTGATCGGATTAGTTCGTTCAATCTTTAAACATTTTTATTTATATACCTATAATATGAAAAATAGCCTAAACTGAATTTTATTCAACTATAAAATAGGTGTAACTGAGAAAGTTTAATTGATGTTAGATCTGGATTTAAAAAAGAAAACAGTTTTTGCATTTAATTCTTATAACACAAAACGCTATCAAATTCTTCAAAGGGTGTAAAACTGTTATACAATGTATTATAAAAGTTAGAATTATACTTAATACGAGTACAGGCATGAGTGGAGAACGTAAAAATCAATCAATTCATTCATAAAATATTTATGTGGTAAATTTAATTTATTTTTCTATTTTTATTTCTTGTTTAAAGGTTATTTAGGTCAATGTCATACGTTAATATAACAATTAAATATGTATATGTATATATATCTAAATGTTGTAATTTGGAATTTATTGAAAAAAGAAAAAATAAAGTTTAATCAAGCCAATGTTTTATGTTAAAAAAGCATTTTTCCCTTGGACAATATTGGTAAAATATTGCTCTAAATAACAGTCTACCAAAATAAATTAATTTATTGCATACTTTTAGGGACAAATATAAGAAAAAAATTGAATAAAACGTTAACATAATAATGTAGTTAAATTCGACATTTATGAGCTAAGAAAATTAGTTATATTTTTTTATGACATGGTATTAACCGTTACATGGTATTATTAACCGGAAATTTAAAAAAGCTCTTGCAGTTTCAGAAATAAAAGGCGATAACGAAGAGAAGGGTGGAGAATGGAAAAAATTTTTTTCTAATGAAATACATAATTTATTATTGTCTAACTATTTCAAATTCACTACTTTTCTGTATTTGCAGAATTTAAAAAAATATCTTTGCGGTTTTGTGTAATACAATAAATAGTCAGAAAATTTCATTTTTAGGACTTTCAGGGTCTATAAATTTTAGGCGAAGAGGAGAGACAGGAAAAATTTTCTACAATAGAAATAAGTTTCTATAGTAAAGATCCATTTTTTTTTATAAAATTTTAGCTTTTTGTCTTCAAGAGTGTGAAAGTTTTGTAAATAGACACATGAACAGAGTGA